TGACTAGGATTTCTTTCAGTTTCATTTCATTGGTTTTTATCGCAACATTTTGGCCAGAAGATGAGAGTTTAAAAAATTCTGCTGAAATCAATGAAACACTAGTAAAAACGTATTGACAGTGCTTCGTTCAATAATAAATACATGGTAATACTTGCAGCAAAATATAAATAGTAAATAAACATAAAATAAGATTTAATCGTCCAACGTTCGAAAAATAAAGCTATATAATGATATTTAAACTTCTACCATTATCATCTTTTGTAGCTTAATAGGTAAAGCAGGTGTCGTTTTAAGGATAGAGATCTGGCGAAGAAAAGAAAAAGGGGAAATAAAGGTTCGAGTCTCATCAGAAACTTCTGCTTTACTGCGGTGAAAAACAACAGGAATGAAGATGAAAGAAATACGAGCCAAAAATGAATATTTTCGTACATTTGGATAACTTTGTTATAAAATAACTGGTATCTATTTATCTATCTATCTATCTATCTATCTATCTGTTCATATCTATCTATGGCAATTTGTTCACTATCTATATATCTACCTACCTACCTACCTACCTACCTACCTACCTATCTATCTACCTATCTATGTGTGTGTATGTGTATAAGAAATGCATTGATTTTATAAAGCAGGGTTCTGGAGTGGGGAACCCACGTCTGTTCTAAGACCGCCATTAACTGGCAAGCAGCAGGGTCAAAACTGTTGAGTGAGCGAAATATCAAATTTTTGGTTCTGTCTTCTGTCCTCCGCTCTGAGTCTGCAGCTGGATTCAGTAAAGGATGTCGGTTAGAAGATTTTATCAGCAAACCTGCTTTTCGCATACGCGGCAGTCGATTCCACAAGTGACGAGGGTCATTCTTAGACAATCCCTGAATCGCTTTCGTGGTGCCTCTGTAATGTCTTGTCTAAAAGTTAGTTCTTCCTTTCGTCATTCAGAAAATGTCGGTACATTTGGGGAATAACGAGCCGTTACACACGCACACAGACCTAGACACACGCGTGTGCGCGCTCACACACACGGACAAAGACATACACACGTAGACACACGTATTTTGCGCGTATACATTAATGCAGGTACGATGTATTTGGCAGGTGATCAACTTAAGGTGAATATAAAGTTATATTACGTGGACATTGAAGGTTTCACAAAGACATTATTGGGGAGCGGGTTAGAAAATAAAAACCTGCATTGCAGAATTGATTTACATTTACAATATCTACGTAGAATAAAAGTATTTATTTCCCCCAACTCAGCATTCTGGATAAGTTTCGAACGAAATCATTAAATCATTCAAGATACATTTGTCGATTTTTTTCTCCATCGAGTATTTTCTGAAATTTTCATGAACAATTCCTGACTTATAGGCCAAATTTGTGAATATTTTCCAGTCTCCTCATTTTTGTTTTTATATATTTTAATGAACGAGAAAACGCACAGAAAGTTTGCCGAATTTAGACTTGAATGCATAAAAGCGACTTATTCAGTAGCGCATTTTAGTCTTGCCAGAGCAAGGGAGATAACTATAGTTATCATTCTTGCATAAACAACGCCATATCCCCAAACTGTCTTTCTTGTGATAATGTCGAACTTGGGAGTTTAAAAGACCGACGCCGACTGCTGTAGTTGATTTTAGTTTTAATTTTTTAATTTATTTAAAAATTTTTATTTTTTAAATTAATAAGGTAAAAAAGATATAAGTTTTGTCGTATTTTGTATAAAGTTAATTCATTGTTGCTCAGATGTCTTTCAGGGAAGTGTAGATAAACTGTGTGTGACAAGCGCGAAATATACTTGCCCAGGGAATGGTGTAGCAAAGAATTTATTATGAAAAATCTTATAAAAGTATTTCTCAGTTTGTTTGTTTCTTTCTTTCTTTCTATAACTTGAAACAAACATATTTCTACTTAAATGAAAGTAAAATAAGATTAAGAAGCAAAAGAAAAAGGAGAAGGATTAGAAAGTAGGGGAGGAGGACAGGGAAAAGAATAAAACTGAGTAGAAAAAGATGCATTACAAATAAAGAGGAGGAGGAGGCGTATAAGGAACTAAGGAAAGAAAAAGAATAAAAAGGGATGCAGAAAGCGGGGAAATGTAAAGGGAGGAGGAGAAGGAGGAGAAGGAGGAGGAGGAGGAGGAGAAAATGAAAACGAATAATGTTGTTATTGTTGTTTTTTGGTGATAGTGGTGGTGGTAGTGGAGGCAGAAAACGAATAAAAAAAAAGAAAAAACGATGGAAAAATATGTAAAATCTTTTCCTGGAACATCCGATACAATTTCCGGTTAGTTCATCTCGATGATTTTCGAATTTTTCTTAAAAGAAAAAAGAATTTGTAATATTGCGTGTTGAAATTTTTCGGAATTTCCAGCGAATATGGATGAAACGGTGAATGCACACGACCTTACTCATTTTTCTGAATATCTGAGATTTTACAAGAACAAAACTGGACATAAAAATTAGATTTGGCTTTGAGAGTGATTTCAAATTAAATTTTGTTATTGAATATTATCAACTTTATATGAGTAAAGGACGTCGGATCTGAATCGACAATTCTGATACATACGTTTGAAACTTTGAAGAAACACACACACACACACACACACACACACACACACACACACACACACACACACACACACACACATATATATATATATATATATATATATATATATATATATATATAATTTCACCACAGGTAAAACAATAAAGCCACTAAGACGCAGTTTCTTAATAACGAAAACATTATTAAGGAGAGCGAAGAATAAAAGGACAAGAATTAAGAAGACAGAAAATAACAATTGACATCGCATTTAAATTTTAGAAGATCAAAATTGACTAGAAAGTAAGAAAGGTGGTAGAAATTTCCATAAAGAAGAAGTGCGAGAGAAGAAACAGTTAGCATAGAACTTACGGCTGCATGTGGACATTTGAAATGTAAAAGGATGATACTTTGCCGCTAATCTAGTAGTACGCTTAAATTTATAAAGTCTAGCTACCAAATTGGAAATCTCTTCAGAACAATTACCATGAAAATCTTTATAGAAAATACACAGATATGTATTATAGAAAAGTTGATTTGTGATTATTGGCATTGGAAATGTAACATTAATTCTTAGTAATGAACAAGGCGGTCGAAATTCCTCAAATAATAATAGTATTAATATAATCTTTGAACGGTCTATTCAGTTTTGATCTGGGTGCGAGGCAAATTATTCGAAAATTGGAAAAGTCTTATAAGAAATGAAACAGAAGTCGGTTAATTTAATAAAACGTGTTTAAAGATATAAAGATTTATCATATCATTGCATGTAGATAAATAAATCTTGATATAACTGTTGATCGTTTTATCAAAATTTGTTCAAATCTATTTATTAAAATATTTGCTGCAATTCATTTGACACAAGACCTCAATAATGGACACAATGGGAGAATCGAACACCCTATACTTTTACGAGATGAATTTGCTCACTATCGGTCAGCAACAGGCGACCTATTTATGACATTTATTTATTTTAGAAGTCCACAGGGCTAAGGAATTAGTAGATTGTGTTGCGCCAAACTTTCAAGCTTCTATTGAATTCTATATTTCTTTTATTTGGGTTTGTTTCCAGTAGAAAATATTAAACTCTTTTCAGCAAGAATTGTTTGTCTTTGTGCATTAACACATATGTCACTCACTCTATATGTATAGTCATGATTACACGCGCGCGCGCACACACACATACACAAATTTTACACATGTTTTAGAATCTGATTCAGATCTTTAATTTAATTCCATCTCTGCATCTCTTTCATTTTCTCTCTTTTTTCCCGTATCGATTTTCCCGCCAATCTCGCTCTATCTAATTGTTAACACGTCCCAACATTTTCGAAAGTAGTCTTTCATAAATAGCTTTTAGCAAAGGAGATAAAAATAAAACCACTGCTTTTGTTCAGTCAAAAATATTGAATCCGTCTTTCTTGATTTTTTACAGCCTATATCTGTGTGTGTCTTCTCGCATGACTATCTCATTACGAGTCTGTGAGATGTTTTTTTTTTTCTTGCCTGAAGGTCTGACTGGGAAGTGTTTCGATAATTCAACAACCGGTTGCATGGCCTTGATATCAGGCAATAACCGATCAGAGGAAACTTTGATGCGTTTGCATGATCATAAATTCTATTGTCGTTGTTCTCAGTCGGCAGTGAATCGCTATTAAGTGAACTAGTGTACAGTAAGGCCGTTGCATTCATAATATGTAATATGAAGTGGACTAAGGCGACGGTATTGTCCTACGTACTCTATTTTTCGTTAATATTCAATAGCTGGGTACTTTCCGGATAGACATCATATATTAGTTAACATTTTTTTTTTCAAATTTGTGTGATTTGACTTGTTTTTATTTGTCAAAACTGACAATGGTCAGTACAGCCATTTAGGCGCCACTGACCAAATAAACTAAGGAAAGGTGGGTGTTTAGACATTGATCGTAGCGTGATGGTCACTAACCTAATCTGGTAGACTAACTCGATCCTGATGGGTATTCCACTACTTTGGTGTTGTGTCAGACTAATTTCGGTTTAATTATTGGTCAGCGACGGTCATAGCTCTCCACAACATTTTTTTTATCTAGCTCTTAGCAATCTTTATCTCCTTACTATCCCTTACCATTCTTCCATTAGTTTAGTAGGTTACCCACTGTTTCCCGCTGTTTATCTTGCCTTCAATGTATCACGTGAGTGTCAAATTCTCCAAGCCATCTTTTCTCATTACGTATTCCAGAAATTTCATCTGTTTCTTTCTGATTCTAAGTACAAGTGTTTTTTTTGTTCCAATTTTCATTTTAAGTTTCCTAGTTGTCTACTAGTTCTGTCCATGGTATTCCCAGTATCCTCCTGTAGAACCACATCTCTATTGCTTCTAGTTTCCTCTTCTCTGAGGAAATTGTCCGGCATTCACTACTATTAATATTGTTGGTTTGATTACTGTATTTCAACCGGTGGGTTCAATGGACATCTTCATGCATACATCGTTTCAGTTTTTCTTTCAGTCTCTCCCTTTTGGAATCAACAGACAAGTAAAGCGGTAGAGATTTTAAAGAAACCCACAAGGAAAAGCGATTGGTGAACAACTTTGTAATTTCTCCAATGTTGAAAATAAAGATTTGAGTAATGTATCGAATAATGATAGCACTTCATCTTAGAAATATCATACAGCAAATATTAAAATTACTTTTTATAAGTGAGCGTGCCACCATTGCACTAAATCACGATTTCAAAGACGATTTCGTTATTTTTCTTTTCAGTTTTTAGTCCCACTTTTTCCTTTCTCTCTGCTCCAAGCCCCGCCTACAACTCAAATGTTTACCGTCAGTTCCCGCCTACATTTCTTATTATTTGAGACGCTCCATTTCTTATCTGAAGTCACGCTTACCTGCTATTTCTGTTTTTTTTTCTGTCATAAAATGTTTCTTTTTTCTTTTCTCACAGACTCTCTTTGTTTTTATTTCATTTCATTCATTTTTCTTCTTTCTATTTTTATCCTTTGCTGAACTTTAATTCATTTCTCATTCCGTCCAACTTGTATTCAGTTGTCTTTTCCCCATTTTTCATTTTATTGCTTATCCATTTATCAATCTTCTATTCGAGTTTTCTAACCCCGCCTCGTTTCTTTGAAGCTTACACAATTGTTTCCGACTATTTTCTTACTCTTTCCTTCCTTTCTTTTATCAGTTTTTTTTTATTCCATTTCCCATTTCGAGTTAGTCTCCGCCCACTTTCTTTTTCCGAACGATTCTGTCTTTACTATTTTTCCATGTTAGTCTCCGCCCCCTTTTTACTTTTCTGAACAAGACTCCGCCTTTTGTAATATCATCTTCTTTCTCTTCTAATAAAATTCCTTCCTCTCCTTTTTGCTCCTCGTTCAATTGCCGCTTCCTTTTCTCTACCTCCAAGCAGTCACCGCCTCTTTTTCTCTACCCCCAGTTAGTTACCGCCTCCTTTTCTCTACCTCCAGTCAGTCGCCGCCTCCTTTTCTCTAGCTCCAGTCAGTCACCGCCTCCGTATTCAACACAGTCTCTTTCTCCTTTTTTTTTCAATAATTCTGCTCAGTGTCTCTTCGTTATTTGCATGATTTTTGCTGCCTTTGTCTGTCCATCTCCCCATTCAAGTGCCTCGTTCCCAACCCAGCCTCATCGATTGCCATCTTGCCTGATGCCCAAATAGCCGACCGGCTTCATCATAGTCTTATCTTCAATGGCTTTTTCGCCTTTTGCCATTTTTCTTTATCCCGGACTCTCTCCGTCTCCATATCCGGAGTAAGATCTTTACTACGAATTTCATCTCTTCTCTCTTTTCTTTCTCAGCGCCTCCACCACGCCCTGATTTAAATCCCCGCCTCCAACTCCATCAGTCGATTTTCTTCTTTCGTTTTTGCCTTTCAGCGTTGATTTTCTTTTCGTTCTTCTTTTTATATTAGCACTTCATTTGTTTTTCTTTCCCTTTGAAACACGATTTCTTTTTCATCAATAAATTATCTTTTAATTCCTTATTTTTTCTTTTTGTTCTTTGAAAATATTTTCATTTCTATTTTCTTCTTACTTTATCCATTTTCAGTTTTTCAACCGATTTTTCTGCCTTTTTGTTTTTATGTTCGTGATATTTGGGTCATTTCCTTTTTATCTACCTTTCTTTCTTTCTTTCTTTCTTTCTTTCTTTCTTTCTTTCTTTCTTTCGTTCACTTGCTCTTCTTCTTTTACACGTTTTCTCTCTCTTCCTTTTCTTTTCCATCCTCTCCCTTTGCATTGTTTTTTTATCATCTTGTATAGTTTTCCGCAATCTCGTATAATAATAATTTTCGTGGCAGACAACACTAACCCCTTTATTCTTGCAGTCAGTCATCGACTAAAATAAGTACAATATCTTATCAAATTTAAGCTCTTCCCGGTTCGTAGAAACCTTCAATTTGGGGCAACTCGAATTGATGTAATGATTAGCAAGCTTGTTTCGCTAGGACAATTACGACTGAGTAGTGATTTCGTTCCTCACTGGGTGCCACATACGTCCGGCTTTGTGCCACACCCAAGCTAAGAATCTTTCAATTTAGTCTTCTAAAATTTCTGAACTTCTTTGAGAATTGGGACATTTGAAAAAAAATGCGGATCGCATCGCTCTTATTCTGATCAATGACAATCGATGAGATGAGATGAATTTTGGTATTCATGACTTTTAAAAAAGTTGTTTTTAACACACAAACTAATCAGGATTGAAACCCTCATGCTCAGTCAGTTCATTCATCTTGCGTGCCAATATACTGCATAGAAAAAAATGGACATGGACCTGATTAGGTTACTGGTTCTTTAACTAATCATAGCAAAATAAATATAGCTAAGTCGATGTAACTTATGAGCTGGCATCGTGGTACATAGCAAATTTTATAGGTCACTGAGGGAATGGCGCTCAAGAGGATTTCATGATCACTGCATTGAAGTAGATACATATTTTACAACTACAACGTGTATATTGCTTGCAAACAGAAAGAATGGATGAGAATGCAGTCATTATCATTCCCTTTGTGACCTATAAAATTTGCTATTTGTTCCTTTGGTCACATTTTGGGTTGATGATTTTTCAGCACCTCTCGTAAAAGAGGACAAAAATGTAGAAAAATAGAGCTGAAGTTGTTATTGGTCTGAGTTTGACACTCATTATCACGTATTCAGTGAAGGTGGATCGTGATTGATTCTAATCCATTCTTGCAAACCGTTTGCGCACTCGAAATAAAATGATGATGGAAAAAAGGATTATAGATCTTCATACAGAATTTAGCGGGTGACATTTAATATCAAATTTCCAATTAGGGGATTCTAAATAAAAAAGGAACATGCTTATTCCAAACCAATGTAAGATCGCTATGTCCTGTGCAGTCAGTCTTGTTCTTATAAAAATCACAGAATGTAAATTATATGAAACCCAGTTGGACGGCGGAAAATGATGAACGGAGAATGGGCAGGTGAGCGATGATCGAGCGAAGTACCCGATATGAGGAGAGGATAGTGAAGGCTGAAGACTTTATCGATTGATGAAATCTCTAAACTGTGCGTGGGACTAATTATCCGATCATTGCTTCCAATTAAAAGTTAAAAGTCTTTTCTAAATATGCAACCTGCGTCCGATTTGAAAACTACCCAGTCACCGAACCTCACCAATCTTATCTTAAACACTCAACTTACGCATCAGCTCCTTTTTCCTTCGTCTCTATTTTTCATTTCCTCTCTCTTTGATTGTCTTTTCTTCCTCTTTCTCTTTCAGATGTTATTTTACTCACGCCCCCCCCCTTGCCTCCTCGTTCTCTAAGTCGGAGAGCCGAAGTCGAATTCCTTTCGAGTTGGTTACATTTACTTACGTATAAGAACCTTTAGGAATCAATTCTCAGAAATATAAGAAAATATATTTCGGCTTTACATAACTCACAAAGAGTTGATAGTTCGTAAAAAAAAAACAAGTCAGATTAAATCCGGCTCACTACCACTTCTTATAGACCTATGTAACTCGTTTCTAGTCTCTTTCTAATCAGTCTTGTATCCAAAAAGTCAGGATTGAACTCGTTTGCCATGATTTTATGATAATTCAATAGGAACTGATAGGTTTGTTCGGTTCACACTCCTCCCCGATCTTTTCCACAGGAGTAGAGATTTATCCTTTGTTTATTGTTTAGGATTACATTTCCGGTTGCTTCTAAAGTCTTCTCATTCTCTTTCACTCCCAGTAGCCCCCTGCGTCTTAGTGGCATTATCGCCTTCTTTGAACTGATTTACAAAAAATGGTCCCTAGATATTTACCAAGTTTAGACTCACTTCTTATACTTCACATCAGAAAGAGACAGTTGAAATTTCTAGGGTGCATAATGAAGAAAGAAAGCTTGTAAAATCTGAGCCTCACAGATTGAAAATAAGAGAGACAATGTTAAAGAGCGTATAAAATACCGAATGACCTTCTCTAAATGGATGTCACAAAGGCATTTCGGGGAGATAACAACAATACAAAATTTACTCAATGCTACAAAGAACAGGGAAATTGTGGAGAGCCATGATCACTAACGTGAGAACCACATAGAAGAAGCTGCCAGTGAGGATCGAACTCATTGCAACAATATCGGTATACAAGTTTGATAATCAGCACTCTAGGGCAGGAATCATTTTAGACGTTTATAAGACTTAGCTAAGATCAGTACACATATACATGCACACGTATATACATATACATGCACACGTATGTACATATACATAAATACGCAGACGTATAAATCACATTCTATTCGTATCTGTCAGTCCATTTCTATCTATCTAAGTCTGTTCATATCTATCTATCTATCTATCTATCTATCTATCTATCTATCTATCTATCTATCTATCTCAGTTCATATGGAGAGACAGGAAGAAAAGGATGGGAGAGAAAAAGGAAAAGAATATATAAGAAATCAATCAAAAAGAGGAAGAGATAAAGATAAAAAGCGAGATCAAAAAGAATGAAAAGAGATAGATAGATAGATAGATAGATAGATAGATAGATAGATAGATAGATAGATAATAAAATGACTGAGATAGATAGATAGATAGATAGATAGATAGATAGATAGATAGATAGATAGATAGATAGATAGATAGATGGATGGTGTGTGTGTGTGTGTATGTGTGAGAGAGAGAGAGAGGGTGGGGTGGGGTGGGGTGCTCTGTTATGAAAAAAATTGATTTTTACAAAAAATGATTTCTTTGTAAATTCGTAGTTGTTGCCTCTTGGTATTCAGTCAGGATATAAAAAAAATGAAATTCTGAATGGGGCCGATTTATTCGCATCTATTAGGATATTTTTTAAATTTTTCTTGAGAAAAGATCACCTTTTTTTCACCCCCAGAAGACGACATCAATTCTGCTAAAGTTTCATTTTTGGGCTTTAGGTTATACATCTATTTTAATAACCAGCCATGAATTATTATTTCTTTATTAAACATTATATTTCGAAAAAAAGAGGAGCATCCGGGAAGAGATTGTGGCATGGCTCGACTTGTATATCTACTTATGTATTACTTATCTGTAAATATTGATTTCATAATAACGCATGTACACATAGTAAGTCCGCTCAAAAAGTAATGCAGGATATAATTTATTTTCTTCAGTTATTAGAATTCTTACAGGAATCGAGGAACAATAATGTCTAGAAACGCCGCGACTTAATAATGAACGAATTATATATTATAAATAATGACGCAGAACTCTGTATTTTTCTTTTTATATATAAATCGCGACATATATTTTAGCAAACACATGTTATCAGCAGAACGCATTTTGATTACCATTTGAAAGTGTTTGAAACTCAGTAGATTAAGTCTTGATAGTTTTCCTTTTCTAAGAAGAAGGAATTGTTGTTGGGTTTTAATCTATTCTGCTTGAGATTTATATTTTGATTCTCTGCTAGTATTCTTTTTTATTTTCATCTTTTTAGTTGTTGTGCGTTTATTTATGTTTTGTCCTCGATTGAGCTATGAAGAGCAAGGAACAATAGCCGACGAGGTTTTTTGTTTCTTTTTTCTTATCTTTTTCGATTCAACACTTTCAATATTGTTGTTCCTTGCATCCTTTTCATTTATTATAGTTGTATATATATATATATATATATATATATATATATATATATATATATATATATATATATATACTCAAACCTAGTGAGCCAGACAAACCTACCCAGGTTTCACCTAAGCGAATCGTCAGGGAAAGCTGGCTAAAGAGGCAAAAGAGAAACGGCAATGGGCTTTGAACCTGTATCTGTGCGATTTTTTCGACAGACTTTCATGTTCCTGGCTCTTTCTTTTTTAAAACCTTTTTTTCCTTCGAGATTGATTTGATTATTGGCAAATCAAAAATTCGAAGGTTTTTCGAGACGAGTATAGTTACCTATATATATATATATATATATATATATATATATATATATATATATATATATATATATATATATATATATATCATATGTCCGTTTTAAAGCCATAATGAAATTTTGTAGTCAGCACATGTTATTTTTTATACTTGAAATTTTTTTTTTTAATTTTAATTACGTTTATAAAACAGACTGTCGATTTTCCATTTAAATTTTTGAATACCGAAATTGTTCTGTATTATTTAAGGATTTCATCACCCATGCAGGATCTTGAAACCTATCTACTACTGATAACGAATTTATATAATTTTTAATTAGACACGCATGCCCTCTCTTGTAGTTTGACTTGTTACTTATATCTATCAGCGTAAAACAACTATTAGTAGAATATACCAAAACACTATATAGCAGTAACTACAAGAGAAAACACAAAAGACACAAAGCTATTATTATGCAAAATAAGCAGACCGCATTAAGTAAAATGTTTTCCACCACAAGAGACGATATTTTGTACAATAGAATTAATATGCCTATAAAATAATAATAATAATAATAATAATAATAATAGACATGAAGATTTGATAATTCCTTTCCGATGCTGCATAGTTTCGTGTAACCGTTTTATACATGACATCATTTGGATTAATTTGAATTCCAGCACTCCAAAAATCTTATCTACCATACTGACAACATGCAGTTCTTGATAATGTTTGAGACGGTTAGAATTATTGAACAAAAACCAAACCAAACATGAACGGACAGTTTATCTACAAGGTTTATTCTGGTGGACGATATCTTACTTGAAATTTGTCAAAATACAATAAAAATTTAAACAACAAACCTTGTCAACTGAATTTAACAAAACTTATTTTGATGAATTCTTACTGTTTCAATTTACCATATATATATATATATATATATATATATATATTAATTGCCTTGAGGAGGTAGTGCTGCCCTGGGTCAAGAGGCTGGCTGCTGGAAGACCTTATGTCTGGCAACAACACTCCGCGCCATGACACACAAGCAAAAGAACCCAGTCATGGCTGTCAGACAAATTCTGCGACCGCATCAGCCCTTACAACTGGCCAACTAATTCCCGAGTCTTCAACCTTGATTATTATGTGCGGGGCGCAGTTGAGCGAAGTAAAAAAAAAAAAAAAACTCCTTGTAACACCAAAGATGAACTGAATGTAATGATTATGGCAGCATTCACTAAATTAAACAAGGAGACCGTCCAGCAGAATTGTAGGAGATTTCAAAGTCGTCTGGAGGCCCTGGTTGAAGCCAATGTTGATTTTATTGAATAAATTTACTCAAGATTTTTTTGTGTAATTTTGGTAAATATATCCGTTAAAATGAGATGTCAAGGTTATTTTCATTTAGACCACAATTTATCCATTGCATACCTTATTTAATTTAACATTCATATATAATACAATTCAGATTGCTGTTATGTATATGTTATATGTAAGTGTGTATGTGCCTAATAGAATTGATGTGTGTATATTCCATAAAACGAAACGAAGTTTCAAATCCCGTTCCAACAAAAAAAACAAAAACAATTTGATTGCTGCATCTTATACGATCAGCTCTCTCTCTCTTCTCTTTCTCCCTCCTCTCTTCTCTTATATCTTTCTATTTCCACTTTCTCTCCTCTCTCTTCTTTAACTACTTTCTCTCTTATTTCTCTCGCACTCTTTGTGTCATGTTTCTTTAGGATGTCAGAGATCATGGTTCTTTATACTTTCTTCTGCTTAAATATTAGACCTACTTCTATGGATGTTTTGTTGGCTCAAGGGCGAGTGCTACACTTCCATTTAAAAAGAACCACAATTGTCAATATGCAGTTTGTAACCTAATCCAACCCCTAACCAAATTACATCAGTCTTGTTCAGTTATTCTCGTCGCAAACTCTTACGTATCTTTTGTTTATAAATATAAATCTGCGACTTAAATCTGCCTGAATGTTCAAGACTACTTAAGGGGGGAGAGTCAAATACATGCACAAGAATAGAAACTTAGAATCGTGCCTCATTAAAGGTTTATTAGGTAGGCCTTGGCAAACCGCGGGGATAAGTGTGGAGAGGCCGGAGTGTCATCGATTAATTAGCGTGTGTCTCCATGGCAGATGTTAGCACGTTTTCCGTCGTTTTGAATGCGAAAGTCCGTACAGGGTTTGTTCAGGCCGACCGGTCGAGAAAGATCTAATTACGCCCCTTCATGCACAAATATTCATAATCAATCTCGGATATTGATAACAGATCGGACAGTAAGGGAGACAACTTCGGTAGATGAACTGGGGAGAGAGAAAAACCTTCAAGGAAACGGACAGAAAGAAAGAGAGAGAGAGAGAGAGAGAGAGAGAGAGAGAAGAGTGCGGGTGAGCGAACAGACGAAAAATATTGAGAACATGAAGAAGAAGAAGAGATGAATAGAGAGATTAAATTATTGATAGATACTAAAATTAATGAAATCCTTGTTGTATAGCAGTGGTTAGCACATTAGTCCATTACTGATTTACGACCCACACTGGAAGATTTGGGCAGGGTTTAGTTCAGCTTAGTGAAAAGGGTTTCTTGTAGCGGTTAAGAAGCTGTTGTCATCGGCCCTCACTTGGTACATTCTTCTTGTGTCAGACTAATATAAGCCGAGTAAAGACTAATACTAAAAATGAAAGGAGAGAGAGAGAGAGAGAGAGAGAGAGAGAGAGAAAGAGAAAGAAAGAGAGAGAGAAAGAGAGAAAGAGAGGGGGGAGAAGGAAAAAGTTTGAAATGAATATATTTGAAAAGAGAATCGAGAAGGAAAGAGAAAAAAGAGGAATAAGAAGTGAGAGAGAAGAAGAGAAAGGAAGAGAGAGATAGTGTGAGAGGAAGAGAGAGAGTGCAAAAGAGCGGGAGAGAGAGAGAGGATGGGAGAGTGCAAAAGAGAGGGCGAGAGAGCAAAAGAGAGGGAGAGGGAGTGCAGTAGAGCGGGATAGGGAGAACAAGAAAGGGGAGAGAGAAGGAGAGAGAGTAAGAGAGAGAGAGAGAGAGAGAGAGAATTTGATAAAAGCCTATCTGTAGGAATAAAAAAAAATGTAAAGAAAGATAAATGGACGTGCAAGATTAAAATTCTCTGCCGGCCAGATTTCAGACTTGCAGACTGAAATCTGGCCGGCAAAGAATAGGGAACCAACAGTGATCCTTTAAAAAGAAACAACATCAACTACAGCCAATGGCCAAAAAGAAGCGAATCTATGATATATATGGCCAACTTTGAGGCAACTAATTTTAAGCAAACCGTAGAGTAAGTGCATAAGAAATAGGAAAGGCTATAAAACCAGGGCTCTTTTTTCTTGTCAAATCTTCACTTGTCTCCAAGGTGTAAAAAACTTGATTGTCTCGTATGGATCTCACGGCTCATAAAGCCGACCTGCAGTACATGTAAAATCTCTTCTTAAATCTTCGTTCACGAAGCTAAGTTATGATTTTTATCTATCTATCTATCTATCTATCTATCTATCTATGAAAGTTATGAACCTGTAGAGACGACATTCTTGCCTATTGGGATGTTGGCTTTTACCAGAGTTCAGAAACCGACCCCTGGCACTGGTTAGATATATATAATTCTCTCGGTCATAAAGTTTTTATATTGAAACAAGGTCAGTTATTTAATCAATTAACTAAACCGGATATATTTTATCATGCTGATTACAATTTGGCCAATAGCATCATTTTTATTCATTCCCATAAAATTAATCAGATCCTTTATCATCTGGAAAATTCCGAGCAGTTTGTATTGAAACCATAAGCAGATCCTTTTACAAGATTTTCTTTCTCTGTATTTCACTATCCAGCATAGATATACTTGTTAGAAGACTATATTTATATTGTTATCCATACACACACACACACACACACACACACACACACACACATATATATATATATATATATATATATATATATATATATATATATACATATATATATATATATATGTGTGTATATATATATTGTTATCCATACACACATACATCCACACACAAACACACACACACACACACACACACACACACACACACACACACACACACACACACACACATATATATATATATATATATATATATATATATATATATATATATATCGACATGACACTGCCGGTTCTTGTTCTTATTCTATTATTAACAAAAAGGGTGTTGCCTTTATCCTAATAAGCGTCAGTGAATAGTGGGAGAACTCTTTATCGCTAAACAGATTGCGAGCGGACATTCTTAGCTAACTACACTTCAAACTAATGTTCATTCATTCACAGTTTCATGCTAAACACAATCGTCAGGCCATGTGCATGAAACTGACTGTCCCTTCTGGGTGTTGACTTCAATGTCCACTTTTATATTTACATCCGCTCTATCCCTGATATTAAGTACTTTTACCCATAAACATAGCATACCTTAAAACTATATTTTATCATATATATATATATATATATATATATATATATATATATATATAATATTCATACGTATTTTATTAGAACCAATGTCCGTCTGTTTAGATTTCAACAGTTTGAGTATAAGCTGTTGCACATACGGTTGAAATTTCTTGAAATTTCTGGGGAAACTGTTCAAATTTCCTGATGGCTTTGTATCCGTCCTTTCGACGATCTGTAGTCATTTAAGTAAAGTTAATTCTATTAGTTACGTAGTGAAAAATTTTTACTGCTTTCATACTGGTATTTTTTTTTATAAACGCTGTATGTATCAAATAGATGTGACATCATATAAAACAGGGTTAAATGACATATAGTTCAAATTTAAAAAAATAGTCCGTTAGAAGTCACAAAACTTGACAGTCCTTAAGGACAAAGAATTCTTTCAATGTGGAAACACATTTTGAAATGTTCCCGAAATAAACGTATTTCAAAAGTCGTAATAAACTTTAGGGAGTAAATAAATGAATTTAAGTATGGTTCGTTGACATGGTAATGTTGCTATATAACAGATATAGAGAATTGTAATCTCTCTCTCTCTCTCTATCTATCTATCTATCTATCTATCTATCTATCTATCTATCTATCTATATAACTATCGATCTGTCTATCTATCGCTCTATCTCTCTATCTATCGAGAGGTAACGATCAATAGTGGTTACATTCGTTATGGACAAAAACTTGTTAAGTTCCCTAAATCTTCTGTTGTCTCTTGCGAAGGAAAATGAGAAACACATTTTTGAGGAGAACGGACATTAAAAACAGTATACAGGGAGACAGAAAATGGCGACTGATGTATTGCATTTAAATTTTTTAGGATCGCAGGTGACAGGAAAGCAACAAGAGAACTCCACAGGTGAGAAGGACGAGAAAAAATACTACTAGGATAAAACTTATGCTTATATCTATTTCAACAACAATCCGATGATATCTACTTGCTAAACTATTTGTACGCTTTATTTCATGCTGAGCTATCAAGTAGCAGAGCTCATCAAAACAATTGACATGAAAATATTTATAGGAAAAACAAACGGAAGCCATGTTATCGTGGTGGAAAAGTGAGTGCTGCCGAGATGTTAGGTCAAGACCAATAACATTGCAGACCTTTATTTGGATTTCATCAAGAATATCGAGATATATAACAGGAGAACCAGACTATGTGTCGTAGCAATATTCGATGCACGAACGAATGATCAACTTACAATTGTTTCAGTTTGTCGAGCAAAATTGTCTAGGACGACCTAGTGAACAAACCTCCCTAGTGGCAGACGTAGCAATTGATTCAATTGGTTTATAGACCTTTACATTTGGCGAGTAGATTTACAGCGAACCAAATTTCCTAGCATCAAACCTATTAACTGTTTCAATAAATCTTTCTACTTTATCACAGTAACAAACGTAAGACCGAGAAAATGTAATAAGTTGATCTCCTGAAGGCTGGAATCAGCCATTCTGGAGGAAAGCAATATTAGTTATCGATGATGACTAAAAGAAAACAATTTCGTTTTGGAGGCATTCAAATTTAGAAGACATTCCTTGCCGCAGATAAAAAAATGATTTAAGGTCATCTTTTTGATCAGTTGCCAGTTTTACTTTATAGGAGTTACTAAATGAATTGAATAATTGATAATTTAGCTTCAAATTTCGCCTTTGTTTTTATCTGCAAGAAATATATGACTGGGAAGAAGAAACAACTAACTTCCGTAAAATATATTTGCAGCTAAGGAATATTCGATTCAAAGAATTGCTATATATATATATATATATATATATATATATATATATATATATATATATGTGTATGTATTTGTGTGTGTGTGTGTGTATGAGTAGGAAACAATATTATGTTATTGCAGCTAAATGAAAATGAATGTTGCACAGTATAAATGTTAGGCAGAGTTTATATTACAGGCGTCAACCCTAGTTAATGCGAAGAATTTGAAAAGAACGCCTTCAACAAAAGTAAGACATAAATTTTATATATATATATATATATATATATAAATTTATGTCTTATTTATATATATATATATATATATATATATATATATATATATATATATATATAAAAAACTCAAGAGAAAATTCAAGAAGGAAATTAATTTTTAATGTTGATTTCCTTTCTGAAATTTTTATCTAATTTGAAATGAATGTGGTCGCGTCGGTCGAAATAGGTCAGGCCTAAAAAAAAAACAAATGCATCACACAGGGAGAATTCATTTCCGCAGCATTTATGTAACAACTACTGCAAAAAAAAAAAAAGAAAAAAGAAAAAAATCCAATGTTGTTACATCTGTGCAATTGAATGTAAGACCGTAGCAGGACTAAAAAAACACATTCGCTCTTCCCATATTTGTGGATGGTTCAAGCAATGGCATTGCGCGAAATCAAGTCACAGCCATCATATATGTATTACACGAGTTATGGATTTTTACTATAGGTCTGTTGCAATTAAAAGTATTGTACATACATCTATAAATTCTTTATTGCAAACATTATGTGTCACGCTTTAAACTGCACACACATACACACACATATTGGGTATTTAGTCAGCAATCATTCATTTATACATGTTTCATTAAAGACGACAGAAAAGTTATTGCGATTAACCTTTTTACTTAATTTTTCTTCGGTTCTAAGAAGTGTTATTTTTTCTGAACCCAATGTGTGTAGAAACTGTTCAAATGTTCTGTAATTCCGAGCGCTTGCGGTTATACTTTTAGCCATTATCAAGGATGTTTTTTTTAACCAACACTCAATAATATTAACTACGAACACGGCCACAATATACGGAGTGTGTTCGAAAAATAAAACATCCCTATAACTCTAGATACATACACATAACTCATCCAGTTAAAAAAGCGGTCCAAAAATTTAATTTTTCGAAATTTCATGAAATTAATTGTAGGTGGTTGTAACAGATAAATAAAAATATTTTTCTCAAGATTTTCTAAAAAGAAACAGTTCTTAAATAATTTCATTCCTTTGTGAGTAAGTCCTAAAAGTTTCATTAAAATCCAACAGATTTTTGCAAGATTTTCAAATTCAATGTGTTTTTCACCGAAAAAAAAAACGTTAAAATTCTCTATACTAATCTTTGATCTCACCGCTGATGCAAGAAAAACAAGACTCTAAAATGGATAAAAAAATAAAAAAAAATAATAATCAAAAAATCTTTTGATCTTTCCTCTTAATAATTACATAAAGATTTTGACGATAAACTTTTGTTTTTATTAAGTTTGGTGTATTTTTTCATCGTGTCTGCTCATTTTTTTTTTGTGAATCTTTAAAAGTAACTATATATATATATATATATATATATATATATATATATATATATATATATATATATATACATACATAGTCATCTATTTTAGCCAGAATAAATACATTAATCAAATCTGTTTTTCCTGCTGTTCCGCCGCACCGTCTGCTTCTCTGTCCGTCTGTTAAACCATAATCTGCAAATGCTTTGTTGCCATACACAATCAAAGCAATGAGGTGCCATCTGGCGGCAGAAAGTGGCCAAGACAAAAATGGCGTCAGTTGGTGCTGCCATAGCGTCATTAGTGACTTGTGGAGATCCTATCTAGGGCATCGACAGACGGCACACTACCTTATCTAGGTGATAGCTTATGCCCCACCGAGTGTGGGTGGAATCTCGATATTCTTGGTTCTGTTCTTTTGTTAAGGGCAACAGACGAATACATTTAATGGCACTGAAA